TAGCCGTTGAAAATCAAGAGATTGATTTTTCCTTACCAACGAGTAGAATTTCTTCATTCAGGACTTAGATAATTTTTCTAAGTCTTTTCTCACTTGTCCGCTTTCTGAGAATTCCGGTCTTCAGTGAGTCTTCCGATTCTTAGCTGACAAATCCGGATGAGTCATTTTCAGACTTCCGGGTGAGAAGGAGATCCGCGCTAGTCTTCCGATTTGGATGACTTAGACTTTAGCGGGTTGTAGCGAGACGTCCGGTTCTTATGTAGTCTTCCGGATCAGAGGATTTTCGTTTGCTTGAGAAAATCCTTACTTGTCTCTGACATTTCCGAACAAGATATCCGATTTCCATATCACTGAATTTGATTAAGTCTTCAGGCATCAAAACGCTTAAAGAAATATCATAGCTTTTATTGGAAATCTCAAGTGCTCGGTTTAGACAGTATTTCTAAAAAGAAAAATTACATTGAATATTGGGGGAGACCTAAAGTCCCTAATACATTCTAAATACATCATCATCAAAATCTATAATATTTTTCCCAACAAATGATTATTATGGATGATTATGAATGATGAATCTACTGATTAAAATGACTAATAATGGTTGAACCATGATTAAATTGAATAAATTGATCAACAAGAAAATGGTGTGTATTGTTAAGGATATCTAGTAAACTTTAAGATATATCTTTTATCTAATTGATGTTAAGACTATTTAGAAGACCTCTAGCATAGATCTTAGAATGAATTTATGAAAACATGAATAGTTGATGGATTAGATAAAAATGCATAAACGGGATTTGTAGTCCAAACTAGAGGATCACTCGTTTGGGAATGCCCGATCCAATGTTGATCATTCGCTATATTGTTTTTGCCTTGACTGACTACAGTTAAGTGTCCGAAATCATTTGCCTTAAACTAATGATAGTTTAAGTGTCTGATTAATGATTGCCTTTTTTGAATCTGGTTATGGAAATTATGATTTGGCCTTAGACTAAGAATAGCTAAGAGCATTATTATGATTTGGCTTTAGACTAAGAACAACTAAGAGCATTAATATGATCTGGCCTTAGACTAAGAATAGCTAAGAGCATTGTTATAATCTGGCCTTAGATTAATAATAATTTAAGAGCACTATTGAAATAGTATCTAAATTGAATAAAATGTATTGATATGAACTGAACAATACCAAAACTGTGAATGTCTGAAATGAACATTGTGTGCATGATATCAAATGATTTGATTATGAATTTAGATTCAGTTTATATGGATGTTCGACGCATTAGATATGCTTACTCAGCTTTATCACTGAGCGTGTAGTGTGTTTTATTTGCTACACGCAGGTAAACAGAAAGCACAATGTAATCCTGGCGGCAGATGGGGCGAGATTGTCGGGATGGATGTGACAAGTTTTGAAACAATTTTTGATATCTCAATATTAAAGTCGCTTCCGCAATATTGTTGAATACTCTCTACTGTATATGTTATGAAAAATATTATTGGGATTAATAAAGTGTGATTCAAAAGTTTTAAATTTTTACGATTACCAAGTTAAATAGTTAATCCGAATGGGGCTGCAGACCTGGACGGATTAGGGTGTTACAATTTGGTATCAGAGCAAATGGTTTTAAAACCGATCTTCGGATCAAAAATTTGAATTTAAAAAAAAAATGTGTCAGTCACATCCACGACTCTCGCATCCCTCTGCCTCAAGAAAGGTATGAGAAATTACTTGGAAAATATTGATTCTGTTAGAATTCTCATTAGAGAACAATCGTTAGTACTGAAACTATATCGAGCATAGACTCAAGTAACTTTTTGGACTCGGTTAAGAGACGAAAGAATTAAAACAAATTATGACTCCCTTATACGTTATTAACGTACTTATCGCATCGCGAATAACGAAACTAATCTGCCTCGCAAAGTCGTGTTGAAGTAAGACGACTCTGAAGAAACGATTAATGTTGATTTTACGAACATCATCTCTGAACCCGGTGCTGGAGATCCTCAAGTGGACTCAACATGATCGGATCGCTGATTCAAACACGAATGTTTAGAAACAATAAACTCTGTTATCTAAAGTATTTTCGTTCCGTTCGTTATATCTTGTTAATCGAAATGGTTCGTTAAAGCAACAATTCCTGGCTAAACCTTTAGCAAATGGTTCGTTTAGCAAATGCTAGCTTGTCTAAAAGCTCATCAATAAAGAAAGAAGAGATGAAGTGTTTCCTCTGACAGGAAGCCATGAAGTTCTGCCTCACCGCGTCATCTAGAAATTTGATTAGGTTATTAAAATAGCCGTCAATGTTCAAGAGACCAATGGGTTTACTGTGCAACCCTTCGGATGCCCATGAGATCAAAGTGAACAAACCTTCCAAAGTATCAATTCCCCTAGGAAGTATGATGAAAGCTTCTACAACATGATTCATTTCGAAGTACATATAGTAATTGCTGGAAACGGTGTACTCTACACCATATGTAGGTTCGTAAACCTGTCGTGCTGCTATGTACCCTGGTATGAAGCCTCTAACTATACCACCATTGGTATAGACTGTTGAAGCAACAGCTCCTTGAAGGCCAACGTTGCCTCCTCCATAGGTAAGCCTGATTTTTTGCCTTACCAATTCCCTTCCTAAATCTACCGCTGTAGCCATGAACTTTGGATTTCTACCAAGAGCATGACTACCAAGTAGACCAATGAATTTTACGGTGTAAGGAAAAGTTCGAGAAGTTCCTTCCATAGTATGAGAATGTGAGATACTCTTGCCACAATCGTGATATATATAGGCTCTGAAAACCTGATTTTTGAAAAGGGGTAGTTATCCTTAGTCGAAATTTGTACACCAAGGATGGATTCGAATTTCCTACTAACAACGACGTACTCGCTCATATTACAGTCTGCTAACGATATGACATATTGAGATTCATGAACTGTTAGGTTCACTGTCCTAAAGTACGTTCAAATCCGAGACAAAAAGTCAAATTGGCTAATGCCTAAGATGACGACCCCTTGAAAAACTTAAAAGATTACATTACGACGTATGAATTGAAATAACCTCCAAGTTTCCAAATATGCCTATCGTGACCCTTCTACGAAAGATAGTGAAGAAATTTTCAATCGTTTCTGATGACGTACACACGAGACTCGTGATTGAATGAAGTTAGGTATATGTCAAGTATGCAATACTATACACTATGAAGGAACTTTTAACATCAATACCAAAGGATCAGTGAAGACCTTGCTTAAACGAAAATTGTTAATCTCTCGAAGATTAAACGAGTTTGGTAACATCAACAATTTGAAAATGCGTATTTATAAGATAAAACATAACCATGCGAACATGACATTGTAACGATTAATTATGAATACAAAAAATGTTGATTGTGGACCTTAGAAGAATTTCGAGGACGAAATTCCTTTAAGGGGGGAGAAATGTAACGCCCCAAAACATACCCTAGAATTATTAATGAATAATTATTCGATTAATCAATTTTACTTTGATTAAAATAAATTCTTGTTGGGCTTTGGGCCGAAGTAAAAGATGTTCTGATATCGAATTTCATAATCTGGACAAGTCTCATACAGATAAAACCATATGTTGACTATTTGTGTGCTCTTGATTGGGAACCTGAGTATAGACCCAAATCAAGAATAAATGAAGAAATTAATTATGATGCGAACTTTGTAATAATTATTTATTGAAATAAATCATGAGAATAATTAATATGAATTAAATGTGAGAACCTCTTTGAATAAAGGTCAAATAAACCAATTTCGACTCTGTCAAAGTCAAACATCCAAAAATATGATGTCGGAAAAGTATTACAAATAATTATGAAAAGTATGTCGTTGAATAGAATTCGACTGTCTGAACGCAACAGTGCAAACATATTTCAATTTGGAGAAAGTTGGACAAAAAAGTGTACCCGACTGGAACCAAAATTGCTCCCAATCAGGGAACGGCGTGTAGATCAATTAGAATCACCGTCGTGCGCACTACGCTGACCGCACATATTGTGAAGGAGACATCCTCGCTTCTTCCTCACCACAACCACTATATAAGCCGACTTCAATTTCCTCATTTCTTCACCATTCTCCACAATTCTTCATCCTATTCTGTTCCTTGTTGAGAGAGGAGTACAGTGGTGCCATTATTTTGGTGAGAGGTCGCCGGAGTTGGGAGTAATCGTCGCCGGAAGATTCGCCGGAAAATTCTCAAAACCTTCGATAAGCTTCGAGGTAAGCCTGTAGATAAATCTAATGACTAGAATGTTCATATAGATCGTTTCTACGTTCATAAACGTTCATTTGGTTGAGTTTTTTGTTTGACATGTTTGAAGAACCAAGAATTATAAACCTTGAAATTGTTGTTAAAACTACGAACTAATGGTACCAAAATGATCTATGAACCTTGGAGAACCCTTCTATATACTTTAATTGAAGTTTGGTGACTAAAAATGACATTTCCGAAAGTTGGCTCGAGGAAGAAGACGACTAATAATCGATTATTGCATGAAAAATCGATTATATTTTCATTCTGGTCAGGAAATCGAACTCAGAACCCAAAAATCGATTATTTTTACACAAAAATCGATTATTGAACATGAAAAAATCGATTTTTACATTATTCCAGTGAAGAAATTGAAGTCAGTAGCAATTACTCGATTTTCCTGTCATATATTAATCGATTATTGTTTAGAAAACATGGTTTTTGAGCTATGAAATCCTATTTTTGATACCAATTGATTATGATTATTATAAGGATGATTTTCCACTATGAAAATGATGTTTTTAACAAATAAACCTTATGTGATGCATGACGGAAAGTTAGAGTGTTATCACTCGAAACTAGACCGCTACTTGTTATTGGATGTTATGTTAATTGATGACTAGGATAAATGATTATTATGGATGATTATGAATGATGAATCTACTTATTAAAATGATTAATAATGGTTGAACCATGATTAAATTGAATGAATTGATCAACAAGAAAATGGTGTGTATTGTTAAGGATATCTAGTAAACTTTAAGATATATCTTTTATCTAATTGATGTTAAGACTAAGTGTGGGGGTATTTGTTTAGTCACAAAATATCATATTTTATTCTCTCATTTCTTAGTATTTTTAAGATGTTTTATATGCATTTCATACCAAAATAAACATATTTTGTTATATTTAGCATTTTAGGCTACTGTTTACATTTTATACATAAAATGCATGATTTTGAGCATATTTATATTTGACAATTATTTTGGAATATTATTTTCATTGGCATGAAATTTGTAGATAATACATGGGAGTCCAAAAAGTCAAAGAAGATATTGAAGTTGAATTTTTGGAGCTTAAAAGTTGGCCCAATCCAAGTTTGGCCCAAAGCTATTCCATCTACCAAATAAATTAAGAGAGGAGGAAGAAGAGCAAATAAAAGAAGAAAAAAAAAGAGAAATCTTCCGTGAATGAGAAACGCAGGAGAGAAGAGGCGCAGAGTCCTTCCCCAAATCCAACGCAAATTCCAAGAATCCTACTCCAAATTGAAGATTCCAAACTCCACGATTATAAAAGGAGACAAAAGCCACAAGAAAATCATCTTCTTCAACCCCAAATCCAGAGGGAGATCAGATAGCCGAGAGAGAGGAACATAGCAGCGGCAAGGATTGCCACCGCCGACCTAGGGTTCCGACCCTAGGTTCCGTGATGGTGGCGACGGCGACACAAGGCACGGCAGCTATTGAAGAAGGCAGTGGCTTAAGTCTGGTGTCTCTTCTCTGGCGGCAAAGTGACGAAGAACAAAGAAGCAGAACAGGGGAGCATTTTGTACTTTATTCCTTTTACTCCGTATTTGATTATACTTGGTTATATTACTAGGCTATCATATTTGTTCAATTCCCATTGTTGAATATGATTTCCTATACTAAATATTTTTTTTCTATTTATTTTCAATTCTTGTTTTTATGTTGAATGTTTAAGTTATATTATAGGTGATGAATTGTTTGTGTGTTGATGTTGAATTGTCCAAATTGCGATTTGTTAATTTTGTCTCTCAAATTATAAAACCTTTTTAGGCTAGATTGTTTGACAAAAAGATTGAATCTTTGTTTGTTGAATTAATTTGACTTTGAAGAAATTTAGCTCTATGCTACTGTTAAATCTAAACTCAAAAAGGTGTTCTGAGAACTATTATTCACCA